AAAAGACTGTTTGCCATTAATGAAGTGCATAGCAAACGAGTGGAAGATTTACTAATTGCTGTGAACATCATTTTTATTTCTATTCCATCCAGCACACTATGTGAAACAAACCAACTAATGTACAGCACAGCTGCCATTATAACTGCAGAATTGGGTTATAAAATGCCAAAAAAGAAATCCACTGAAACACCAAAGTGGAGAATTCGACTTGAAAATAAAATAAAAAAACTACGAGGAGATGTCAGCAATTTGAAATACTTGAAAGAAGGAAAACTAAAAAACAAAGAATGAAAAACTGAAAAATAGTTTATGCAAAAAATACAAGGAATAAACAATAAACTAAAACTGCCAAAAACTGCCAAAAAAGAAATCCACTGGAACACCAAACTGGAAAATTTGACTTGAAAATAAAATTAAAAAAAAACTATGAGGGGATGTCAGCAATTTAAAGTACCTGAAAGAAGGAAAACTAAAAAACAAAAAGCTGAAAAATAGTTTACTCAAAAAATACCTGGAAGAAAAAACGATAATAGAAATCATGGAAGAACTAAAACGTGTAATAGCAACAGTGAAGAAAATAGAAAGATACGAAGGGAAAATAAAACAATACAGTGAAAATGTCCAATTCAGAAGAAACCAGCACTTCTTCTACCAGCCACTTGATGAAAATCAAGTCCAAACTAATGTTCACCCATGCAAAGAAAAAGTTTTGAAGTTTTGGAGAGAACTGTGGGAACACCCAGTGGAATACAATAAAACTGTCTCCTGCATCAAAGATATTAAAAAAACAAGCAACACGAAATGAAATAGAGAATATTATAATAACAACTGATATGATTGCAAAACAAATAATGGTCAAGAACTGGAGCGCACTTGGCCTGAATGAACTGCATGGATACTGGCTAAAACACCTGACCAGCCTCCATCACTGCATGGCCACTCAATTTGACAAAATGCTTCAAAATGCAACAAGCGAAGAATGGTTAACAGGTCGCCGAACATACTTGATAATGAAAGATCCAGAAAAGAGCACTGAACTAAGCAACTATTGCCCAATTACTTGTCTGCCAACAACATTCAAACTTTTTACAAGAATACTGACGAATTCAGTATTCAATCATCTGATGGAAAACAGTTTGCATCTGGTAGAACAAAAAGGAAATTTTAAAAAAGCAAGAGGAACAAAAGATCAGCTGCTCATTGACAAAATGGTACTAAAAATGCAAAACAAAGAAAAATGAATTTAAATACGGCGTGGATTGATTACAAGAAGGCATTTGACTCATTACCCCACAGCTGGATTAATGCCTGTCTGGAAATCTTTAGAATCAGCAAAAATATTTGTACATTTTTGAAAGCAAATATGCAAAAATGGAAAACAGTTCTAACAGCAAAAGGGGATAATATTGGTAAAGTCAATATCAGACAAGGAATCTTCCAAGGAAGATTCTTTTGCCACTACTGTTCAACAGCTCACTGACAATAATATGACATAATTCAAAACTGAGCTACCAAATCTGAAGCCAACATGGGAAGATAAATCATCTACCATACATGGATGACTTAAAAATGTATGCAAAAAGCCCCAATGAAAAATCAATATTCAACACAGATCAACTGTTCAGCAGTGACATCAAAATGAACTTTGGACTTGAAAAATGTGCTATATTATCCATGCAGTGAGGTAAATGGAAAAAATAGAAGGAATAGAACTGGGAAATGGAAGCATCATGAAAGCATTAGCAATTACAAATACTTAGGCATATTGGAAGCAGATAACATCTTGAATGGAAAAGTCAAAGAGTCAATGCAAAAGGAATACACCAGAAGCAGTGGTAGGATTCAATTTTTTTTTACTACCGGTTCTGTGGGCGTGGCTTGGTGGGCGTGGCAGGGGAAGGATACTGTAAAATCTCTGATCAGAGGTAGCATTTGCCAGTTCTCTGAACTACTCAAAATTTCCACTACCCGTTCTCCAGAACTGGTCAGAACCTGCTGAATACCACCTCTGTTCAGAAGGGTCCATAAAATATTCAAGTCAAAGCTGAATGCTGGAAACATAATTAAAGCCATTAATACAGGGGTAGTTCCAGTGATACACTACCCAGATGGAATCAATAACTAGACTTTGGCTGAACTGGAAAACTTGGACCAGAAAACACGCAAAGTTTTGAATATGTATCATGCTTTACATCAATGCAGTGACATCAACATTTACCCTACATTTAATGAAGACCAGCTATACATGGTCAAAGATGTCCCGAAGTTGCCAAGTCAGAAAAAACATTTGTGCACTAGACTGAAGAGACCCAAATTCAAATCAAACCTCTGGCATAGTAGTATTGAGCACAGAGATAGCATTGAAGAAGGTATGCAACAGCCATTATATGACATCAACTTAGCCATAAAAAAGAGTAAGAAGAAAATTCAAGATTGCTCTGTCATATGATATATCCCAGGATAATGTTGCAGGATCCAATGTGAGTTGATCTCCAGGACCAGAGGTTTAGTCTTCCAAGCTTTCAGACTCTTGCTGGAGCCCATCCTCAAGGAACTTCTCTCTCACCAGAATGTATGTCACAATTTCTGGTGAAAGAGAAGTTACTTAACAATGGGCTCCAGCATGAGTCCAAAAGCTTGGAAGACTAAACCTCTGGTTTCATGACTGACCCAGATTGGATCCTGTTCACCTTTGAGTTTGCAAGTTCCAGAGATACTGAAACTACATCTTCCAGGCATTAATTTTTTTTTTTTTTTGTAAATTTTATTTGAGTTTTCACAAAGAGAAAAAAAAATACAAATAAAACATCTTTTTTGAAAGTAGCGTAATCCCGGGTTACATTTCTTTGTACAGACACAAATTCAGGTTCATGCTCATTTTTATATTCTATTCCATATCTTATTACTATTTTACATTTTCTGCATAGCTTCTCCCCTCTTTTAATTTTCTCAATTTTATTTTAATTATCTCAATTCAAATCATTGTATTTATATTTTTTGTCTGTCCTGTTTCAATTATCTATTATCTTTTCTCATTAAACAAAATTTCTCCTGTAGTTACTGATTGGAGTATGACGCCTTTATATCTTTTCCCTAAAGTTGTAACATTCAATATAATACATAACTTCCATTCGGATTCTGCTTGGTACATTCTTAAATTACACACTGTATTCTTAAAAAAAAAAGTTATAAATGTATATAATTAAAACAACATTCCATTCCAATTCAATTCTATCATTAATATTAATATTCATTAAAGTCTTAACATCTTTAACATTACTTTTCAATTAAATATCATACGTCTATGGGAACAATTATAAGCTTTCCATAGTTAATTCCCCCCCTTCACTTATATTTTATAAAACATTAACTAATTAAAATGTTCCCGTTCCTTCCTAATTCAATTTTCTCATTTATTTTATTTCACTTATTTTATTCACAAACATTTCACTAAATTACACTAACTATTTTATCCCTCATTTTAATCATACGTTGTTTCCAATTTTCTAAAGTTATTTCTATTACTACTATAACAATACAATCTTATGTACCTTTACAGAATCTCTTTTTCAGTTAGATTTTCACCCATTATCTCTAAATAGGTCCTGTTTCTCTATATTTTGCTCCGGTCCTTTGTAACTTCTTTTCCTTTCCTTCTTCCCTCTCTTCTTCTCTCTCCCCTTTTTACCGCCGTGTCTCTCTACCTCTATTTCTCTCTTCTGTATTCCCCTCTTCTGTTGCTTTCCAGTATTATACTTATTTTTCGAATTATTTTTCTTTTCTTTGGTTGTTTTTTTAAGTCTTAAATTCTCCATTCTCTTTCCCCCCTTTCCTTTTTCTTTCCCACATAAAATTGCTTGTTCATTAAAGATGGCTTCTTCTTTGTCCCAGTCTTCTTGTTTTGCAGTCTTTTCTTGTTGTTTCTCATAGTTCCAAATCTCCATTTCTAAGAATTGAAAAACGAAGCCAAAATAACTTCTCCCTTCTTGTGCATCTTCTTTGTACTTTTTAAGTTCCATTTTCAGTTCATCCAGAAGTGGTGCCATTGTATAAATTTTTAACAACACCTGATTGATTTTAGTCATTCAAATATAATAACCAAGAATCCAAAGATCACCAAATAATCCAAATACACGCAAGCTATTTCTTTTTTCTTTTTTTTCACTTTCTCTTCCTGGGGTTACTATTTAGTTGCAAAGTTTCAGTTAAAATTTATCTTTTAGAAGTCTTGTTGAAGTTTTACTGTAGATTCTTTTTAATTCCAGGCAGTCTCCTCCCTCTTCCAGATCCTGCCCTTATTCTTTTTCTCTCCCTTCCTGCTTATGAAAAAGAAAATTTTTAATGTCCAGAAATCTTTATTATCCCTTTGGCATTTTGTTTTATTTTCAGCTTAATTGCCTATTGATGTCAAAGCGGATTTTTCCGATTTCATATTTAAGTCTCTTAGTTGTCAGTATAGGGAAGGAGAGAGAAGAGAAAAAAAAAGCCAAACCTTTCCCTTTTCACTTTCCTTCACTGCTTCTGACTCTTCTTTGGGAGCGATGTTATTTTTTTGTACGTTTAAATTCCAGGGTACCTTAGTTGTTGCTTTTGCAATTTAACCCGGTCAGCCAAAACTTTCACTTCTTATCTTCCTCCTGCACATTCTTTTCCGGTCGAGTTCTTCTTTGTGGTGGCCATTTCTGACCACCGCTGCAACCGCCTTCGGGAAAGGGAGTAATGGCCAGCTGAGGAGGAGAGATGCGGCTCTCCTCAACCTGGCTGGCAGTCTCCCCCCTCTTCACCACCTCTACGGGGTGGCTTAGCCCCGAAACCAGCCGGCTTGGGGCGCTCCAGCGGCAAGCCCAGACCAAAACCGCTCACAATCGCGGATTTCTGTCTGTCACCGAAGCCCTTCAAACTGGAAGTTTTCCAGGCATTAAATTTTTTGTTACCAGTAACCTGCATGGTGCCTGAAAACTATATAATGCTAATTCTTGAAATTATAATAGATACAGCTTTTTCTCTTACCTTCAATAGCTGGCTGCTATAAGATAATTGTCAATATTACTCCAAATTACTTAAACCATTTCACCCCACCCAGAGGTGAAGATAGAATAGTTGGGATAACTTGATTTACAGCCTGTGAGTAGGAAGTTCAACTCGCCCCACTGAAAATCTGGGGGTGGAGTGAGAGAAGGACAATACTAAGCAGCTCAGGTCTCTTTGGCAGTCTGCTTGATATTAAGCAACAGTCAAGAGATTGCTCCTTTTGTTCTCTGCAAGTCCTGGGTGCTTGACCTGAGCATCACAGCCCAGTGTGCTGTTCCTCTGTACCTGATCTGCATTAGGATTGGATGACTGAACGTTGCTAGTTCTGGACAATGCTGTGTCTCTGTTGCTCCCAGATTGTGCTGCTATTTCTGTTGCTGAAAGGTGGGTAGCCAGGACAGAAAGTGTTTCTCTCTCTGTGTAAATATGTGAGAATGTGTAGAGGTATTTTCTATAGTTGTTGGGATGGTACTTGATCACCTAGACTAGTGTTGGGGAATACAGACACAGCCTCTGTTCCATTTGAGTCATCAAATCCTCTCTTGAAAAGTAAAGATTCTAAACCACTAGGTTCTCTGAGCAGATGGAGAAAAATCTGAAAAAATGTTGAAGTACTACAAGGGATTCTGGATGAATTGCAAATCCTGAGACATTTGAAGCACTGATTTCTGGGGAAAATGGGAAATATATGTGGATTCTTGCAGAGCATTGGAACAGGAAATCTGGGGCATGGAGGCTGAAACGTCCAACAAGTATTGCTTTCCTTCTGATTAAAAAAAATGTTAAGGAAAAAAATTGCTGTGTTTCACTAATCAGATACAGGTAGAAATCCCACTTTGAAAGGAAAGTGCATAGGTATGTAGATTTCTACACTTGGAATGCAGATGGGTTTTATTTTCTCTCCTTGTACATTATATAACAATCAATCACTTTGATGTATTATGCAGTTGACAAATTACTGGACTGAAATAGTTTGCGGGCATATGGGTTCATAGGAAATTTGGGTTATTATTCTCTTCCTATTTCTGTAAAAATAAGTTAGAGAGATCAGATTTGCTGCTTATTAGTCTTCAGAGAAAGATTTATTGCTATTACTAACCAAGGAATTTTCTTAGTGGAATCTCTTTTACTGGATTGACCTTACCTGCCATGTTCAAGGTCTAACTCAGTTACATTTCCCTAGGAATCAGGTTTGGGAAAGATCTCTGCAGGCTTTTGATAGAACATGTTTGGTGAGTCAGAACAATGCAAACCCATGCCATCTGATCTCCTCTCATGTTAGTTTTTTGGATCAAAAACAACTGAAAGGTTTATAGCATGGATTAGAAATACCTACAAATATTGTTGAGAAAGAAAATGGTAAGAGGAGAGGTGACAATATAAATTAACCAAACATTGAATTCATTAACAAAAATATAGGTACGACATAGTGATATGTTACAGATGAGCTGGTTACACATGCAGAGAGCCTTCGTGGAAGACGCTCAATTTGTTTATGGGTTTAACATCTTTTCTGGCTTTGCATAACAAGCTAACCAAGTCTGGGTTTTCAAATGTTAGCATTAACTAAGGTTTCTTATTGTATAATTATGACTACTAGGTCTTTAGCTGACCCAATTAAAGATTTCACATGTGGCCATGTTTAACTGTTAGATAGATTGGCTTAGCTTCTAAAGCAGTGGTTCTCAATTTGCTGACCCCTGAGGGTCGGCGATGTCACAGGGTGTTTACAAAGGCTTGAAGAGATGTTATGATTTAAATCTTGAGTTGTCTTGGGGGTCTGTGGCCATGGTCTGTGGCCATGAAAGGTATTTAAGAGAAAGGGGACCCGTGGTGAAGAAAAAGTTGAGATGCACTGTCCTAAAGAATTATTATTAAACTATTTTGTAATAAAAGTGATTATAATTCTTCCTCCCTCCCCAAGAATGGCAACCTTTCTGTTGTGGAGAGTGTGTTCTGAGGAATAAAAAATTGACCCAGGATTGTTTTTTTTTTTTTTTTGGTAAATACCTCCTGAACTCTATCTTCTAATAGTAATGTTTTTTTTTTTTTTACTCCATCACTTTGACTTTATTTATTGTATTTTAGGTGTGGAAAACAGTGATGCTCAAAAAGGTAAGAACACAACTAAGTAAAGATAATTAATTTAATGATGGGGGAGGAAAGGCCTAGAGATTATTATTATTGTTATTCTTGTGTTATTCAGACAAAAAGAAAGGAAGTGTGCAACTAAGCTTAATTACTCTCTCTCTCTCTCTCTCTCTTTATATATCTATATCTATATCTATATCTATATCTATATCTATATCTATATCTATATCTATATCTATATCTATAT